AATAAAGATAACAAAGGGTTTTAATAGGTTATGTAAATCCTTTAAATCTTTCCAAAAACTTTCGCTACTAAGATTAAATACAATATTTTCATTAATTTCTATTTCTTCAGCCAAAATAGATCGCAAAGCTGCTTTAGTTTGAAGAAAATGATCAATACAATAAAAAGCTGATCCTTATTGTGTATCAATAGTTAATACTAAAGCAATTATATGTCCATACTTTTCTAATTGAAGCTGATGAAGTGTTGCTAAAGGAATTTGATGATTATGAAAATATTGTACAACTTCCTTTCCTTTTTCTAAAATTGATTTAGCTCAATCAATTTTTAAAATATCTTTTATCCAAAGATTAATACCATGTGCCCAACAACTAAGAAAAACTTTATTAGGATATTCAGTTTTAAGAATCCTCTATACAGCTTTCATATTAAGAGCATTGTCAGTAATGACAGTTGCAAATTTATCAACGCCTGCTTGTTCCATTGTAAGTTTTATACCCTGTTCAATATTTTCTGTAGAATGACATTCTTCATTGGTAGAAATTGATTTATAAAAAATAGGTTTTGGTGTAGTAATCATATAATTGATAATAGGATCTTTATTAATATTAGATCACTCATCAATTATGAGACAAAAATATTGTGTTTCGTTAAGTAAATGATTTGTAATAGTCCTGATATCCTTATATTCTTGATCAAGAAGAGTGGTTAAAAGGCTTTAGAGAGTAAGTAATTTGAATAAAGGATAAGCTTTTGCAAAAAAAGCTTTCATATCTTCATTTTCAAGAATGTTAAAAGGAATACCTGTAGAATAAATTACACACACAAACAAACTTTCTAATTCCTTTTGGTCAGCTACCATTATTTTAGTAATAAAACTATTTATTGTTGTTTGTTGTCATTTAAAAGTTTATTCAGGTGAAGGAGTAGGTGTTTCTGTTATATTAGAATCTTAAAATTTTGCGAAAATTGAAATGGTCATTGTCAGTTAAAGAGTTTGAAAAAAAAAATGTTGAAATAGAAATCAATAATAATTTAAATGATACAATATTAATAGATGATTTAGAAGAACATAATTGGGAGGATTCATTTTATTTGATTATGAAGAATTAGATTTTGAATAGTATATTAATTGTATATCTTATATTTTATAATAAATAATATTCATTTTCGCATATTATAATATATAGTACTAATTTTAAATTTGAAAAATTTGACCAGATTTATCTAAATTTTGACCTGCATTATATATATAATAAATGTAACTTACCACAGTCACATGTAACTTATATGTAACTTATATTGTAACTTACCATTGTAACATAACTTACAATAACCCTAGATATTGCGAAACTCTTGAAGAATCGCAAAAAGTTGTGAATTCTCTTTGAGAATCGTAATTCTTTTACGAAACTCTTGAAGAATCGCAAAAAGTTTCAGATTCTTTAAGAGGTTTGTATATATATTACAGATTCTCTTCTAATTATATTGAAGTTTCAGATTAATTTGAAAATTTCAGTTCAGTTCAGATTTTACTAGTCTACAGTTTAGTTCAAATTCAGATTGATATTTTTAAAATTTATAAACTGAACTGAACTGAATTGAAATTTTTGGTTCAGATTTAGATTAAACCATTCAGAGTTTTACTTTTTATCATATAATAATATTATAAATTATAACCATCCTATGTTAAAATGCATTGAAAATATAATAACTAATGATGGTCAAAAAAAACTTGTAATTTCTATTTTCTCATGAAGTATATTGTTAAAAATTTTAAATTAAATGATTATGTTGTGCTTTTGTGACAAGAACTCATTAAGGAATTACTATTATTACCCTGTTCTGATAAAGATAAAGATAATTATAATAATTTTGATAATAAGAAACTGGTATAATAAGGTGAGTTTTGGAGGGATCTGTTAGAACTACAGCAAAGCTTGAAATTTAATTCTATAGTGGTTAATTATGATCAGTAAAAAACTTGATCAATCACGGGATAAGTACATGTAAGCATATCATATGCATATTTATTTATTTTTTGATAGTGAAATTTGAGAAGAGATAAAGAAAACGATGTTGAATAAAATGATATTATCAAAACTAATTGTCTGAAACTATCTCTATTTACTTAAGGATTGCATAAAATTAGAGCAGCAACAGTTGCAATTAGCAGAATACCAATCTATATTAGCTGGGATAACCAAATTGTCAGATAGTAATGAATCTCTATTAGCTACAATTAACACCTTTACTGATGCTATTAAAGGTTTAAATAAAAGAGATAATTAAGAAAAAAAATAATATATAGCTATATTTTAAATGTTTGAGAAGCAAAAATAATATAAGAAAATTTTTTATGAAAAAAATTTTAATAATAATATAATAATAATAAAATTTAGATAAAATATAAAAAAAAATATAAAAAAGAATCATCTAATATCCCCAGTAGCTAAAAAATCTTTTTTTTACAATATATTTACAAATATTATTATTTTTGTATTATTTGCTTTTATTTCATAAATAAAGTATTATTATATTATTATATTGATATGCAATTTTATTGTAAGCAATAGAGAAGAAGAATAACCTAAAAATATTATACATTTATAATAGATCGTGATAGGCTAATTGATAAAGTTAGTTTTCTAGAGTGCCGTTTAAGTATTAGATAACTAGATGGCCTTATGAAAAAATAGGCATAGATAAATGATCACCTAAAATGCATAATACAATATCAGAAAAATTCTTGTTGATTTGATTCAGACTTATTCTATTTGTAAAAAATATATCATACACAGTAAGTATGTTAAGTTTATCAGTCATATTAGATCAGTAGATCCTACTTCTATTGGTTAAAAGTGAGAAGAGTCTTTACAATTATCATATGATATAGCATGTATTAGTAGTTAGGTCTCAAACTTTTTGTATTTATTTTTTAATTTCCACTTTTTTCCTTTTTTTTATTCATATATTACCAAAAAAATTATGCTAATTACTTATTTAATTAGATCATATAATAAAAAGCAAAGTCTATTATATATTTATTGGTTGTAACTTGCAAGTTTTTATAATTATCATATGATATAGTAATGTTATGCTCATTTTTTGACCTGAATTATTAATTTATCTTTTATCATAGTACTATAAGTATAAATAGATTAGCATAAATTCTTTTTTCGCTTTAATAGCTATCCTAAGAATTAATCGCATTGCTTCTAATAAGTTTAGGTCATAAAGTAGCTCACTATCTTTTCTCTGAATCCTTCCAGAGAGCTACACTACCCTGAAGAAAGTATCCAGGCACAGTTTTTTGTGAATTGTGACTTAAGTTTATATAATATAAAATATTATTATTTATATTTTTATATAGTGCATGTTTCGATACATTAATTAGATATATTTTATTTTCGTTTGAAACTACTTTGCGTATCATGCATTTATAAATAAATGAAACTGGTTACAATTAAAAATACCTTAAAATGCAATAATTTTCACATTTTCTAAATTATTTTGACATGTAATTATTTAATTTTAATCAAGCACACCTTGACAGAAAGATCTAGATGAGATGAGTATGATAGTTTTAATTTTATATCTCCATAATTAGTATTTTATAAGATATTCGCATTTATATATTCTAAGGTTAATCAAAGTCAAAGATTGTATTTTATTGTTTTATAAAAAAGTTTCTTAATGCATTTATAAAAAATTTAAATAATAATGTTCTAGATAGGATAGAAAGAAATTATTAATAATATTGTTAGCTCAAAAGTTATTAAATTTAAAAAAAATTATAAATTTTTTGGTATTCGGATACTTTCTTCAGGGTAGTGTATATCTTGTTTAACTTATAAATAAGGAATTATAGACTCACATGTAATGTTTTGATGTGGTCATACTTTTTATATTAGATATTATTGTGTAACTTTAATTTGCTCTAAACAGTGTCTAGAGTGTCGAGAAAACATTATTAAACAGCTTGAACAACTTAGCTTTAAAAATATGTATAGAAAAGAAAAATCATTAGCTTTTATATGTGAAGTAATAACTGAAGTAATGGAATAATGATCCATTAGAAGTATCAGAAACATTCTTTCATAATAATATTGATCTTCTGAATTCCTATGTAAGTTATATCAAAAAATTAGCAAATCTGATTTCTACACAATTTATTTCAATTATAAATTTAGTTTAATACTATTTATTCACCTCAATGAATATATTGAGAAAGAGCAAAAGAAGACATAGAATAAGTTAAATAAGGAAGTTCAGGATTATTTCTCACTTGATATTCTTTAAATACAGTAAAAGATAAAATAAAAAAAGCTAAAAAGATGTATAATTTTTTTAGTACTATAGGTGTATTTAGAATTTATTTAGTTCATTCATTCTCTGTAGATCAGATCTCAACTTTTACAGATATAATATTAATTTCATAAAACAAAAGTGCTAAATTTTGGGTATGTTATGAATTCATAATTTATGAATTATTTTTTATCTTTATATTTTTATGTTTTTTTATATCTTATTATATATACAATTCATTTATATGTCATACTTCTCTTTAATAAAAACTCTTAGTATGTGGTCTTATAGCTGATATGAGATCATATTAAATAAATTTGTAAATATGTTATTAGTTCTTCCCTTCAGTAGTCTTTAATCTATATGATTTTTTTCTCATAATTGATAAATAGAAATATAATAGATAAATTTATAGTGAATGGAAGGATAATAAATCTTATATGTCAAACTTTCATTTGTCTGAATATTTAAGTATTTAGCTTTTTTTGCTTGATTAGCAAATTTACAATAAAAGTACTTTTTATTTTTTAATAGTTCTGCCTAGTATTTTTAATCAATGAATCTGCTGTAACATTGATAAAATAATTTTTGCAATCTCAAAGGACTTATCTATATCAAATTTTTCTTCTTTTAATTTGGTAGATTTTGAATTTATTTTTTATTATACAATTACATTTTATTTTATACTATTCTACTATGCCTATAATGTATATACTTGCAGTTATAAAAAATAATAGCTAGAATAATAATTATTAATGCTTATTCTTATACTCATAATACATTTAATGAAAAATAGAATCCTATTTGTCTAAATTGATTGTGTTAGAATCACAATCTACTAGTGATTATTGATGTTTATATTAATTATATTTACATTTTGAGAAAAAGAGAGAAGTATAAAAGTAGCAGATGCTAAAGTTTCGAATGAGTCGAGTCGAGTCGAATTTAAGGATCAACTCAATTCAACTCGTTTTTTTCGAGTCAAGTCGAGTCAAATTTATTTTATAAAATTTTTCAACTCGACTTGATTCGAGTTATATAAATTTTAAACTCGACTCAAT